CGACACTGGGGTGGCCCTGAGCATGCCACTGCACTCCAGCCTGGACGACAGAGTGAGACTGTAACTCAGAAAAAAAAAGAATAGTTTGTGCTTTGGCATGGAGTGAAATTGTGTTGTTGTGAAGGCCCAGAACATCTAACAGTTTAACACTCTGAGGCTATAAAGAATAGGCGGCCTTTTTTGTTGTCTGGGTTTATATGAACACTTTAAAATAGGCTAAGAATGCTCTTTTGCTTTCTTTGTGATTCTAAATCTCTGTGTTTTGGTGGGATAGACATTTTCTCCCATTTTACAAAATAGGAAATGTAGGCATAGAGATCTTTTGCAAGGTCGCAAGTTAAATGGGTGACAAAATTGGGACTGTAATTCAAACATTTTCGTCACGGATACAGTAACATATTCACCATACCATGGTCCCTTAGGAGGTATTTCCGGCAAATCTCACTGTATTGTAAAGACAGGAGTACATAGGACTGGTCAGATGGTATTTGGAAGAGACCAACTGTGTCAGACATGAGTATGGAACGTAGATTGTCCTTGGCCAGCCTGACCTGTAGGAGGTGAATATCCATGACTGTATTCTTTTTGTTTATGGAGGAAGCAGAGCATATGTGGCATTTTATTTCGTATGTCTGAGAAAGGGACGATTTTCACAGCTTAACTTGTACTAGAGCAGCGTAACATTCATTCAACAAATATTTGTTGACTACCTGTTCAGTAAATGGTCCCTGTCTTGGGGTGAGAAGAATCAAGGTGTGCCTGTAAAATGGCCTGTGTGTATCAGGGAAGTTGTCTTGACAGTGATCTTTATAAAGTTGAGTGAAGTAGACAAGTCAGTGTGGAATTAAAAACAGGAAACCTTCCTGAAAAGTCTATTTAGTTGGTGGAAATATAGGCTTTCCAAATAGTTTGACATGGAAGCATACAAGAGCATTTAAGAACCTAACAGGGTGGCCCATTTTTGATAGGTTGTGTCCTCTTTGACTTTTTTTACTTTTATTGCATTTTGAGTAAAGTTTTTGGGATCTAGAAATCGTTGATACATGTATTTGTGGATGTTGGAACTTCTTGGCTGGGCTGAAGGAATCCTTTAAAAGACCTATTTTATAGTAAGGGTCTCCTCTATGAATAGGGAAGAATGCATGAACTAAGCCAATTTAACAGTATTGCTCTGGAAAATGGAATTTTTTATTTTTATTTATTTATTTTTTGAGTTGGAGTCTCACTCTGTCGCCCAGACTGGAGTGCAGTGGCTGCTTCCGGCCACCGCAGCCTCGACCTGCTGGCCTCCGGCGATTCTTCTGCCTCAGCCTTCCAAGTAGCCGGAATTACAGGCATGTGCTACCACGCCTGGCTGATTTTTTGATTTATTGTAGAGATGAGGTCTCGCTGCCCAGGTGGGTCTCGAACCCGCGGGCTCAGGCAATCCACTCACCTCAGCCTTTTTTTTTTTTTTTTGAGTGGGGTTTCACTGTCACCCTGACTGGAGTGCAGGGGCAGGCTTGCAGCTCACCTCAGCCTAGACGTCCTGGGCTCAAATGATCCGTCTGCTTCAGTCTTCCAAGTAGCTGGAACAACAGGCGTGTGCCACCATGCCCAGCTAATTTTTATGATTTATTGTAGAGACAAGGTCCCACCAAGTTACCCAGGCTGGTCTCAAACCCCTGGGCTCAGGCAGTTCTCTAACCTTGGCCTCCCAAAGTGCTGGGATTATGGAGGTGATCCACCGCACCTGACAAAGTGGCTTTTTTATTTAGTGTCCAAACATGTGTGGTGGCCTTCAGTTGACAGCCCCTAACCATTGTCAAAATGTAAGAGTTTGACTGGGCACGATTGTTCACGCCTATAATCCCAGCACTTTGGAAGGCCTAAATGGGAGGATCATTTGGACCCAGGAGTTCCAGACCACCCTAGGCAATATAGTGAGACTTTGTAAACAAATAGTCTGGCTTGGTAGCATGTGTCCCTAGTCCCAGCTTTGAAGGTGAGACAGAAGAATTGCCTAAGTCGGGGAGACTGATTGTGAGTCTGATTGTGCCACTGCACTCTAACCTGGAAGACCGACAGAGACCCTGACACACACACACACACACACACACACACACACACACACACCACAGTGCATTAACAGATAAATACACACACACACACAGTGCATTAACAGATAACTCTTTTGTTTTTTTTTTTTTGAGTTGGAGTCTCACTCTGTCCCAGCCACCGCAACCTTGACCTGCTGGGTTCCGGCGATCCTTCCGCCTCAGCCTTCCAAGTAGCTGGAACTACAGGCACGTGCTACCATGTCCGGCTAATTTTT